GGGATAGAACCCAGGAGTCCTGGCTCCCAGCCCCCGCTGCTCTAACCTGCTAGACTCCCCTCCCCGAATTACTGGACTGGAGAATTGGCTGGAGCTGTGAATGCCCCCAAGTGGCTAGTGCTGAATGGCTCCGAGGCAGGGCCACGTCCCACCCGCCTTGCTCAGGGATGGGGGGACATCCGGCCTGTGGAGCTGGGGGGGTCCCTTACCTGGGGACGAAGCGGCAGGGCCCGGGGTGGTCTGGGAAGCAGCAGGGGTCGCGTTGTCATTCTGGGCCTGAAGGAAACGGAAATGAGAACTCGTGGTCCCGGATCTCGCAGGATCCTGGCGCACTTCCCCAGTCGCCCGCGGGACAGAGATGCGTCCGCTTCTGGGCAGCAGCCAGCCCTGCCGCGCGTCTGCGACGGACACAAATCCACCCCCACCCTATCCCGTCCCGTCCCGTCCCAGCAGGAGCAGAGACGGGGGAGATTCCAGCGACACTCCGGTCTTGGCCCCGGGGGTCGGGAGCAGCAGGAAGCCCCGAGGGCCTTTTCACAGCGGGCCCCGTGGGCATCCGCAGGTGAGCAGATCCGATTACCCCGCTCGATGGGCCCCCCCAGCTGGGACTCACGGCTTTGGTCTGGGACTGCTGGGTCACGTACTCCGGGTTGGGTTCGCTAAAGTTCGGGATCTCGGAGTAAATCATGCAGAACCTAGGGAGGGAAATGGCAGGTCAGCGAGGCCACCAGCCAACCCCTTCCTCCCCTCGCACTCAGCCTTATCCCGGGGGAGGGGATGCCCCGACTCGCCAGCGGGGAGCGTCCTGGACCGTCTCAGGCCAGGATCTTGATGCAAACTATGCTGGGAATACAGTCCCCAGGTATCCAGTCTCCCCTGCTCTACCCACCAGGCCAGGCCCCCTCCTGGGGCTGGGAACAGAACCCAGGACTCCTGGCTCCCCGCCCCCACCCTGCTCTAAACACCACTCCTGAGGAGACACCCACATGGTCAGCCCCGGGGGCAAATCGCTCCGGCTTTGGGGCTGCCCCACACTTCTCCCCTCCCCAGCCTCTAAGAAGCCAGGCTCCAGGGAGCAACGTCCCCAGGGCTCCCGCAGTGAAGCCGACAGGCCTTCCTTACTCTCCGATTTTCTGCAGGTCTCCTCCGCGGCCCGTGTAGAGGGTCAGGCAGCCTTTGAAAACGGACGCGTAGCTGAAAGCAAGAGGAATGCCGAGATCTGGGGTGAACTGCACGGGGCTGCCCCAGCGGCTGCAGGCCAGAAATCGCACCCGGGACTGGGTGCAGAGCTATGGGCCCCAATTCTCACTTCCCCTGAACCTGCACTTGGGGGAGGCACCGTTGTGCCCCCAATGCTCTGGGGCTGGCCAGGGACACCCCCTGATGTAATTTAGAGCAGCCCTGAGGCCGCTCTGACTTACACTCTGCTTCCCACAACTCCCTATAGAAGGAGAGAAGAACCTTCCCCCCCCCGCCCCCTGCCCCGGCAGCACTGTGTGCTGCTTCGGCAGCGCCACCGGGGGGGGCCCTAATTATTCTTTCAAGCGGCTCCCACAAAAGCAGTCGCAGTTTCCGGGTGCAGCGCTAGCTAGGCTGGGGGTGGCGGGGGATACAGGGACAGTAAAATCCTGCCTTGACATCGTTTCTAAGTTAAGCCGACATGATGAATCCATTGAGATCAGTCCTACCCGCTTACGGTAACTTCCCCCCACCCCCACGTCCAGGGATAGAGAGCTGGCGTCCTATTGCTACTCTGAGATTAACTGTGTGTGTGTGTGTGTGTGCGGGAAGGATCTTTTCCAGGGACTTAACTGGATTTTTTTTTTTATTGTATCTCTATATTAAACTAATAAAGTCTCCTACCCAAGGTGCCCTGACCCCACCATACATCCATTATGATGCACCCTCAGCGTTAAAGTCGTCAGCAGGAATTCAGCCACTGCCCTCGGCCTTCTCCCACATCCCCCCCCCCACACACACACTTTTGCAGCCTGCCTAGAAAGTTAGGAAATTCAGAGCCTAGAGACGACCTGAGCTCGCGCGTAGCTCTGAGCAGGCAGACGCAGGCCTGTTTGCTCTGGCTTGTATCTCCCTCGGCAGAGGAAGGGGACCGGCGCTGAGAATGGGGGCCGGGGAGAGGAGCAGCCTGGCCCGTTCTCCTCCCCCTGGAAGGGCAGGCGTCGCCGTCCCAGATGTGGGGCGCTCAGGTGAGCCCGCAGCCTGGTCTATCAAACGGTGAATGAGCTCGTCTCAGGAGCCCTGGGGGGCCTGAGGCTGACGGGCTGGGCGAGCAGCAGACACCAACACGACCGGGTCCCGTGGTTCCCCCCTCCCCCAGCAGGGTCTCGCCTACCCTTTGGTCAATCGGATGATGTCTCCCGGCTGAATGAGGTTCCCTACGTCGTCCCACACCGAGATGTTGATGCTGCCGGTTTTGTCGGCTACTTTGCACGTCCGCACCTCGTGGCCGTCCTTTGTCTTGGTCACCCGACCTGCAGGGGGGAGCAAACCGTCCAGTTCGCGGGACATCTCCGTGGTAACACCGAGGAGCCCCTTTGGGCTAGACAAGGCCTTGTACAGACACCGACCACAACAGTGGTCCCGGCCTCAAAGAATTCACAGTCTAAGGTCCCGAGCCTACAACGCTGAGCCGAGTCACGGCAGCGAACGTAAGCCCGTGCACTCACCCTACGTCAATGATGGTGTCTCAGAAATGGACACACACATCACAAAGCAGCTGGGGAAGGGGTGAAATCCAGCCACAAATATTGTTTGAGAACCGACTGCAACCGTTAAATGGAATTTCAGCAAGACAGTGGCTCTCAACCTTTCCAGACGACTGTCCCCCTTTCAGGAGTCGGATCTGTCTTGCCTACCCCCGAGTTTCACCTCACTTCAAAAACGACTGGCTTACAAAATCAGACATAAAAATACAGCAATGTCACAGCCACACTATTATTGAAAAATGACTGACTTTCTCATTTATACCATATCATTATAAAATAAATCAATTGGAATATAAATATTGTACTTACATTTCAGTGTATGGCATATAGAACAGTATAAAAAAAGTCATTGATGAAACTGTAGTTTGTCCTGACTTCGCTAGGGCTTTTTCTATAGCCTGATGTAAAACTAGGCAAATACCTAGATGAGCTGATGTACCCCCTGGAAGACCTCTGCTACCCCCAGGGGCACACGGACCCTGGTTGAGAACCACTGCAGTAAGATATTTAATATATATCTCGCACATCATTAATACCCACCTGTTTCCAGTACAATAAAAATAAGGTTCAGGTTTTTCAAGCCGGGTTTAATGTCCTTTACAAAGGTTTCAGTCGTCATATTGAGCGGCGTCTGGCTTCCACTACGTTATCTGTGCAAATAATAATAAAACAATATAACCCCATTTGAAAAGAAAGCGACAGTCAACACCCAGAATGGAAAGGCAGGTGCTGGCTTCTGCAGCCAAGGTGGAGCGAATGCAGGGACATGGAGAAATGTGCAGGATCAGGGGTTGAGCGTTTATTATTGAATTGGCACAGGTCCCTCCCAAGGTTAGCCAATAGGGGAATGCCCTGTAGGAAGAATGAAACATCCTGCTGTTAATTTATCCCCAAAGGAAAGAAAATGCAAAATGGCAACCGCAATTGAAGATTCTTGCAAGAAAAGTGCATCTGTTTTTCATTTCTGCTCAAGTTTCTATCACTGAGTCTAGACCCCCTACAATAAAATTGCATCACTTTCTTTTTGCACAAGTTGTGGCCATGAGTCAGACGGTGGCAAGAAAAACCCATTCCTGCGTGCATGGATTGCAACCCTGATTGCAACCCACAGTATTTCATCTTGCTCTTTTGCAAAAGTCACCATCCTGCACATTTGTGTCCAACTTGCAAAACGGATCCAGGCTAATTAAAATAAAATACAGACCCTGAAAAACCACCTGTGCCGGGGAAATGCATTTTATCTTTGGCACAAATCACAGCCCTGATTTCACACCACCCCCGCCAGGAAAATGCCTGTTTCTCCTTTTGTATAAATTGCAACCCCATCCCCATTCACCCTAGTGCAAGCAAAGTGCTTTTCCCCGGGGGTGGAGGAGTTGAGGCTCATTCACCTTGGAGGATCAGTTCGCTCACGTGTTGGTGGAAATTCTTGCAGAGGAGGGGAGGGCAAGGAGACATGGTTTGGGGACTGAACATTGCTGGGGTGGTGCATGTATCCTGCAACATGCATGCCCCCTGCCCTGCAATGCACCACCTGCAAGGGGGCTCAGGCCCCCTTACCAAAGCTCCTGAGGCTGCTGCAGAAAGGGGCTAATGGGGGGGAGGGAGATCAGGAGGTCCCCCCCCACACACTTTCCCTGTAAAACTGACCTGATGGAACGTTGGGTTGCAGACATTCCAGGAAGTATCCAGCGGCGTTCTGAGTAGCCAATCACAGCCGCCGGACGCTCTTCGACATGTCTGAACGTGCTCCAGCTCCAGCCAATTGCATTGCGGGGAGGGGGGGGGCTGGCACTGAGGAATTAAAGGGACAGCGACGTCCCCTGCACGTGTGTGATATTTCCCAGTGGGGGGAGATGGGAACCTTTCCTATGTGTACTGTACTCGGAGCAGTGGAGTCTAGATTGAATCCCCTGCTACCCCTGGGCCATACACACCCAGTGCGTGAATCATACACGTTCTGTTACCGTGACGCTGCGGCTAGACATGTGTGGGTCACAGCCTGGCAAGCCGTGCATTGTTATTCCTGTTCAGGAGGCGTCTTGCGTAGCACCTAGTCATGGCCCAGGGCCCGTTGTACCAGGGGGTGTAGAACAGTCCCCAAGCGGGTATCCATCCGTGCTGTGACGGCCCGTCGGAGAGAAAGGGGGGTCGAGGTCATATCTTTTATTGGACCAGCCTCTGTGGGTGAGAGACATGTGGGCACATGAGTCATGCGTGCGGTGGTGGCATGGACCATGCGTGCCACAGGTGGTCCATGCGTTCCAGCATAGAACGGCCAGGCCTGGGAGAGGCACGTGTGGACTATAGGTGAGGTTCATCATAAATACTGATGGTTTTTAACATTTGCCACCAGCAGAGGCCCAAGCTGGTTTACAGAGGGAAGGAAAAGCCCCTTCTCCAGGGACCTCACAGGCCAGGAACAGCTCCAGCCTGCGGAATCATTTCCATCGGGTAAAGGAGGGGG